GGTGCCACTTCCACCAGGATCCAGCCTGAAAGGCTGGGGAGAAGGTTGGTCATGAGTTGTAAAGCTGCATCGTGGCTTCACATCTCCTTCCACCTGCTGGGGGGGAGATCTCGGGGTGCCCATGGGGGTGGTGGGGGGGATTAGGCTCTTCCCAGGAGGTCTGTCCTCAGGACGGGGCTCTCCAGGAAGGAAGGGTTTATTCACAGGATTTCAAAAGGATTACTCATGGGGTTTTGTGCCTTCAATGCAAAAACCTCTCTGCTTTTGCTCCCCCAGTACGAGAACCAGACCAAGCTGGCGCTGGTGGGGAACTGGGGCACGACTGGCCTGACCTACCCCAAATACTCAGATGTCACCGGCAAGATCAAGCTGCCCAAGGACAGCTTCCGCCCCTCCGCGGGCTGGACCTGGGCCGGGGACTGGTTCATCTGCCCAGAGAAGACGTGAGTGATGGTTTTCTGCAAAGAGCAGAGCCTGGGTGGGCTGTCACGGGCACCCCAAAAACCTGAGCAGATGCTTAGCTGGTGGCAAGGTCACCCAGAAAGCTGGATGGAGATCTGGGGTGCCATAGGGGTTTCTCATCTGCCTGCCCCATCCTTGGTAGGCACCGGCGTTAATGCAAAAGGCATCGTCTCTGCACTGGGTGATGTCCCTGGGGTGGTGGGTGCCGCACAGGCGCTCATGGACATGATGGCCCCAGCACCCAGCTCACCAGGGTGCCTGTGCAAGCCCCACACTGAGGACCTTTGGAGGTGGGATCCCAACCGAGGCACCGAGGGGATTGGGAGGGGATGGTAGGTGCTCAGCCCGGCTCTGCCATCATCTTGCATTGGATTTACAGCCTGTGTTTTGGGCTTCACCTGAGCCGGGTTGCTGAGGTCTCGTGGGAGCTTTGCTTGGTGCATCTGGGGTGGCAGAGGCTCAGGAGGCAATATGTGTGCAGGGGTGGCGTGGCTGGCCGCGAGAGGAGGGAAGACACAAGGCTGTGCTGTTGCCCGTGCAGGGCTGAGAGGGCAGGACTGGGAGCTCCTGACGCCATGCATCTCCTTGGTGTGCAGGTTGCTGCACGACGTTGATGCCGGGCACCTGAGCTTCGTGGAGGAGGTGTTTGAGAACCAGGTCCGGCTGCCTGGAGGCCAGTGGATCCACATGACTGATGCCTACACTGACGTGGTAAGGACAAAGGGGGCAGCCTGGGGCCAAGCCACCACCCCAGGCTGCAGTGGCAGGAATCCCAGGGGGGCTCAGGGGAGATTTAGGCATCTGCTGGGCACCGTTTGGTTGAAAACAGCCCTGCATCCCACAGAATGGAGAGAAGGTCCTGAATAAGGATGAGATTGAGTGTCCTCCAGGCTGGAAATGGGAAGACGTGGAGTGGGACACCGACCTCAACAGAGCCGTGGATGAGAAAGGTATCAGAAAGCACTTCTGGGCTTCCATGACATTTTCATCCCCTTTACACTGTCCATTGTGGGGTTTCCTTCCTTGGTCCCATCCAGCTCTAGGAATGATAACATGCCCTTCATGGCTGCGTGAGCTGCCCCACTGGCTTCGGAGAAGGGGATCAGGCCCTGGGGTTACCCTCTCCCTTTTGCTCTGGCTGAGGCTGGGGCTGTGGGGTGGGCAACCACAAAGGCAGTGCTTTCCAGGCTGTTCTTCTGGAAGAGCTTACCTGGCTTCTGGTGAAACAGAAATGGGCAGCATCAGGCCAGAGAGCATCCGAGATGGTCACAAGGGTTGGGGTTGCCTGAGGAAGGAAGGACAGAGAACAGAGTCCCCAGGCTGTGACTTTGAGCCAAGGGCTGGTGGGACACCATGAATCCATCACCTGGTCATCCCCAGAGCCTCCATTGGGTAGCAGGTCGTTATCTGCATGGACCAGCAAACTGGGAAAGCGCGTTGTATCCGGACAAACCTTTGCTATTAGAGTTGTTCCAACCTGGATATATGTGAAGAGAGGTCCCTGGTGGGAGGCAAGGTGGGGGGCTCTTCTCCCCAGGCTCTTCACCCAGGTGTCCCCTTCTCTCCAAGGCTGGGAGTACGGCATCACCATCCCACCAGACCGCAAGCCCAAGGCCTGGGTGCCGGCCGAGAAGATGTACCACACCAACCGGCGACGGCGCTGGGTGCGGCTCCGCCGGAGGGACCTCACGCAGATGGAGGCCATGAGGAAGGTAGGAAGGGGGCCGGGGAGAAGAGGGTGAGAGCTGGCTGGGGCTGTGACCATGCCTCTCCATGTGGAGGTGGAGGTGCTTGGTCTTCTGCAGAGACCTGCTGTGCTTTGGAGCCTTGGGGCCCCGGTCTCTGTACTGGAGCAGCAGCAGCCTTTGTGGTTTCCACCATGGGGGTCAACATCTCCCAGAAGTGGAGACCACTCCGGGGGTGCTTGGTTGGGCTGCGGGGTGGGACGGGGACCTCCACCAGTGCCACAAAGCAGCTCGGGGCACCGGGGCTGGCAGAGGTCCCTGGTCTGTCCCCTGTCCCAGTCCTGCTTCCCTCTAGGTGGTGCAATCGGACTGCAAATGCCACTGCAGCGCTGCTGCTCTTCCCTCCCCCCAGCAAGTTCCCCAAGACACTTTCCTCCCTTTCCAGCACCTTTTCTAGATAATTGTGGATGGAAAGCATGGGGAACCCCTCCCGCTCCATTTGCCAAAGGGATGCAAGTGTCACAGGGAGGTGACACGACTCTGGGGAGAAAAAGCCTTCATGGGCTTGTGACTGATGCCCTGGGCAGGATGACCTGTGGTGGCAGAGCCGTGGTGGCCCCGGGAGGGATCAGAGGCAGTGGCAAAGTGGAGGGCAGGCTGGGAAGATGGAGGTGCTGTTGCTACCCAGCGGAGGCAGGATTTGGCCCCCTCCTCGCTCAGCACGGGCAGCCCCCAGCCCAGCGAGACCCTTCTCCAAGTGGGGTTCACCCCAGGGACTGGACAAAGGGGTGAATCCCCGGGCTAAGCCGGAGACGTACGGGGAGGACACGAGGTGGGACAACTCTAGCAGGCAACAGCTCAGAGAGGCTGGACCCAGGTTTGGGTGTGCACAACCCCGGCCCTGGAGAGCCCCAAAGTGGCTTTGCCCCTTGGCTAAGCCAGTGTCCCACCATCATCACCTGCAGAGGGGCCGTGGGGTGGTGGGACCGAGCCCCCCCCGAGCCCCGGTGTGTCCTTGCCCGGCAGCACAAGCATGAGGAGCTGGATGGGGAAGGCTGGGAGTACGCCTCGCTCTTCGGCTGGCGTTTCCACCTGAAGCATCGCCGGACTGACACCTTCCGCCGCCGGCGCTGGAGGCGCAGGATGGAGCCCCTGGAGCGCACCGGGGCTGCCGCCGTCTTTGCCTTGGAGGGGGCCCTGGTAGGTACCCATGTTTCACCCCAAAATTGCTGCCTGGGAGGTAGAGCCTGGTTGGGTCTGCTCCCACCCTCTGTCCCATCGCCGGCAGTGGACCCGGAGCAAAGCTTGTTATCTGCTGCTCGTTATCTGCTGCCTGCAGCCGCCGCTGTTTATTTAGCTAATATTCTGGCTTTCTTAATACACCAGATTTCATAATACTTTGGCTTTTCCAATAACTAAATCAGAACCAACCACAGCAGCACAAAGCCCCTATTATAGGGCTTTTTATTTTTTTTTCCCCCCATTTGGCTTTTTTTTCCCCTCCTTCTCTGCTCTGTCCTTCCCTCCGTCCAGCGTTTGAACCCAGCAGCCCCTTTGGGATGCAAGCGGCTCCGTGGCGTTTGCATGCATCAGCCCTGAGCTGACGCTGGCCCCATCCGGGGGGGTCCTGGCTGCTGCCCACCCCCAGGGCTGGCTCTGGGACCCTGGCTTCTCCTTCTTCACCCTGGGGCCCGTTGATACGATTTTTGGCCGGACGCTTCATCCCTCTGCATCTGAGCGGAGGCAGCCGAGGAGGGTTTAGCTGGAAAACCCTATAACATGGGGGGTGTGTCCATGCACACGTGTGAGTCTGTGTGCATGCCCATGGGGCTGTGCAGGCACTCCCCATGCCCTTCCCTGGCTCCGGGGGTGAGGGGAGGTGCGTGGTGGGTGTCTGATGGGGCTACCTTGGGTCTCCGCTCGGTCGCGCAGTTTTCCAAGGGACTCAGCCGTGCCCTCGTTTCGCCTTCGTTAGCCCGCAAATGAAATGGGTTTGTGAGCTTGGCTGCTGACGGACCCATCTGCTGTGGGTACCAGGGGATGCGGGGGAGACCCGGGGGAGGAAAATCCCCTCTCCACGCATGTGGGGCAGAAGCTGAAGCAAAGGGGAAGAGGAGAAAAAAGCCCCGTTAAAATGGCAATGTGGCGACGTGCCTGGGAGCCGCTGCTTGCTTCGCTCCTGGTGATGCTGACGCGGTGGCAGGGGGTTCCCGGTTGATTTAAGTGTCCCCCCCCGGTGTCACTGGCATGCTGCTGACCCCCCACCTGCCCCAGGCTGCTGGGGGCTGCCCCTTCCAGCCCTGCACCCCCAAAGCCTGTTAGACCTGATGTTACCTACTCTGCATATTTATTTTCCAAGCATTTCTTAGCTGTGTCAGTTAGCGTTGGAAAGCCCAGTTCTTAGCAGCCTCCCAAATTTCTCATTTGTCTTTATGCCAAAGTTACGTCTCTAACTTTTATTATATTATCATGTAACAAATCCAGTTTATTATTTTGCTTATTTTCTAACTGAAAACAATTCTAGCAAAAAAAGCAGTCGTTCTGCTTTGCCTTGCCTTGCCATGCCATGCCTTGCCTTGCCATGCCATGCCATACCTTGTCATGCCGTGCCATGCCATGCCTTGCCATGCCTTGCCATGCCTTGCCATGCCATGCCTTGCCTTGCCTTGCCATGCCTTGCCTTACCTTGTCATGCTGTGCCATGCCGTGCCATGCCATGCCTTGCCATGCCTTGCCATGCCTTGCCATGCCATGCCCTGCCTTGCCATGCTTGCCTTGCCTTGCCATGCCTTGCCTTGCCATGCCATGCCTTGCCTTGCCGTGCCATGCCGTGCCTTGCCTTGCCTTGCCGTGCCATGCCATGCCATGCCATGCCTTGCCTTGCCTTGCCATGCCTTGCCTTGCCATGCCATGCCTTGCCTTGCCTTGCCATGCCTTGCCTTGCCTTGCCATGCCTTGCTGTGCCATGCCATGCCTTGCCATGCCTTGCCGTGCCATGCCATGCCTTGCCGTGCCATGCCATGCCTTGCCATGCCTTGCCTTGCCTTGCCATGCCTTGCCTTGCCTTGCCATGCCTTGCCGTGCCATCCCATGCCTTGCTTTTCTCTCTCGCCCTTCCCCAGCGAACACTGCCATAAATGTCACCGCTGCTCCTATACGACCCCAACGCAGACATCCAATTCCCTTACACCAAGGAAAAGCCTGAACCATAAATTTTCCCTGCTTGAATCTCAGCAAACCCAAGGAGAACCCTCAGCGGTGTCCTGGGTGACAGCAGGGTCCCGGGGAACACTGGGTCCTGTTGCTGTAGGACTGTGCTGCTCCTGGGAATTCAACCATTGCCCGGGCAGGCTGATGCCATCTGACAAGGAGCAGTATTTACTTCAGGCATGGAGATTTTGTGGGGTTGCTGTCCCCGCAAGGTGACAGCTTGGGAGGGAGCAGCGTGGGAGAGCAGCAGGTGAATCCCTCCCCAGCCCTGGCTCCGGCTCCCGGCAGCCCGGCGGTGCAGGACCAGCCTGCCCGCCCTTTGGGCTCTGCTCGCCGAATTCCCCTCCGAATAGGTCACTCTGGCTCGCCTCGGTGCCCTCATATTTTGGGGTTACTGGCCACATTTTCTGTGGTTGCTTGGTTTTCTGCAGATTGCTTTATAAATGATCTTGCCATACTTTCTGGTTTTGCAGCTTCATGCCTTTCCAGCTCTCCTCTCTTGCTTGAACGACTTAGTATTTTTCCAGGATGCTCCATCCCAAAATAATACCTAAATTTACATAGCGTCTCCCATCCAGCAACCCCAGAACCTTCGGACCTGCACAGGGTCGACCCTTCCACCCGCTGGAGCCGCAAGCGGGAGCAGGGACTCAGCGTGATGCCTCAGAGCTGGGATCGGGGTGGTGGGGTGAAGCGGTGCCAAGGGTGGGAAAATACAAGTGGGTGCTGAGGGCTGGGAAGGGTGGGCACTGATTTTCCCCTATATCTATTTCCAACGCTTTTTTAATGCAGGCAAAGGGAGGTAGCTTTTGAAGACTGAGGTGTCAGGGATGCAGAGTCCGAGAAGGGCACCCGGATGGGGCAGCAGCTGGAGTTTGAGCTGCTGCTGCCAGCTCTGATCGCGCTGAAGCAGAATAAAGATGCTATCAGGAGAGGGAGCCTGGAGCATCCCCCGGCTCAGATTTTACCCAGGCCTGGGACCAGGGCTGCCACCGGCACACCACCGGCTGGCCGGGC